AAGATAGTACTTAAGGGTCAGGGAGTAAAGGCACAAACCCACTGTTTACGGAGAAGATATCGCCAAAGAGAGTCAAAACTAAAACGATGTTCGACCAGTCCATGCAGAGTATGAAGATAGTACTTAAGGGTCAGGGAGTAAAGACACAAACCCACTGTTTACGGAGAAGATATCGTCAAAGAGATATAAAACTAAAACGATGTTAGACCAGTCCATGCAGAGTATGAAGATAGTACTTAAGGGTCAGGGAGTAAAGGCACAAACCCACTGTTTACGGAGAAGATATCGTCAAAGAGAGTCAAAACTAAAACGATGTTCGACCAGTCCATGCAGAGTATGAAGATAGTACTTAAGGGTCAGGGACTAAAGACACAAACCCACTGTTTACGGAGAAGATATCGTCAAAGAGAGTCAAAACTAAAACGATGTTCGACCAGTCCATGCAGAGTATGAAGATAGTACTTAAGGGTCAGGGAGTAAAGGCACAAACCCACTGTTTACGGAGAAGATATCGCCAAAGAGAGTCAAAACTAAAACGATGTTCGACCAGTCCATGCAGAGTATGAAGATAGTACTTAAGGGTCAGGGAGTAAAGACACAAACCCACTGTTTACGGAGAAGATATCGTCAAAGAGATATAAAACTAAAACGATGTTAGACCAGTCCATGCAGAGTATGAAGATAGTACTTAAGGGTCAGGGAGTAAAGGCACAAACCCACTGTTTACGGAGAAGATATCGCCAAAGAGAGTCAAAACTAAAACGATGTTCGACCAGTCCATGCAGAGTATGAAGATAGTACTTAAGGGTCAGGGAGTAAAGACACAAACCCACTGTTTACGGAGAAGATATCGTCAAAGAGATATAAAACTAAAACGATGTTAGACCAGTCCATGCAGAGTATGAAGATAGTACTTAAGGGTCAGGGAGTAAAGGCACAAACCCACTGTTTACGGAGAAGATATCGCCAAAGAGAGTCAAAACTAAAACGATGTTCGACCAGTCCATGCAGAGTATGAAGTTAGTACTTAAGGGTCAGGGACTCTATTCCCTGACCCTTAAGTACTATCTTCATACTCTGCATGGACTGGTCGAACATCGTTTTAGTTTTGACTCTCTTTGACGATATCTTCTCCGTCTTATGGGGTAAAAGTCTTATGGTGAAGATATCGCCAAAGAGAGTCAAAACTAAAACGATGTTCGACCAGTCCATGCAGAGTATGAAGATAGTACTTAAGGGTCAGGGACTAAAGACACAAACCCACTGTTTACGGAGAAGATATCGCCAAAGAGAGTCAAAACTAAAACGATGTTCGACCAGTCCATGCAGAGTATGAAGATAGTACTTAAGGGTCAGGGACTAAAGACACAAACCCACTGTTTACGGAGAAGATATCGTCAAAGAGAGTCAAAAATTGGGGTAAAAGTCTAAAAAACCCTCTAGAAACCAACGGTCAGTGGAACGGCGAGAGACGAAATGCTACTGAAAGTGACACCAAACGGTTGTTGGACATAAACTCGGAAAACGATGCAGAGCTCAGAAAACAACTGCTATATTCCTATGAGAGAGGCTTCATCAAAAAAGGAGGAAAAATCATAGAGCGATCAATCAAAGATTCTACTCAGGAAACAAGATCAGAGAAAAAGTGACATGCCACTGACGAACCCATTGAAGGAACGAGAAGCCCGTAAGCCCACAAAACTGTTGAGACAGCAGCAGGGTCAATTACATGAACAAAGATATCGCTCAACTAAGGATAGACCCGGATGGAACAAAAATAAAACAAGGAAGAAGCAAAAATCCTGAAGAGGAGCCGAATAGATAAAACCAAAAAAGATAAACACCCGAAAATGAGGATAACGCAAAGGACGACATACTACCTCGAAAAAACGATCAGAATACAGAAAAATACCAGCCCACGCAGTCGGCTGTGACATCAAAAGATACATAAGCAAGCAACGGTCCTAACTTGTAAGTAAAACGGACCAAACCTAAAACAGCAGATCCGAAATCAGTGAGCTCAACAACGCAAAAACAAACGAGAAAATGAAAAAATTGGTCAAGACAGGAAGTTGAAAAATGCTGGATCCGTCTCGGAAGACAACTCAGTTATTTTTGTCGTTCCAGATCAGTAAAGCAGCAGTTCAACGCGAAAAAAGTCACCGTAGAAACAATCACCGTAGAAACAATCAGCGTAGAAACAGGCACCACAAGCAAGATAAGCTGAACAAATCAGCCAGATACAACAGCAGAGACGTATTTCAATGCTCATCAAATCAAGAATCACAGGAGTGGCAATCGCTACCTGATCAATTTTTGAAAACAGGCGTCAAACGTCAGGCGAAGAAGTTCTGCGGAAGAAAAATCAGGCGGCAAAAAGTGACACTAGATCTGATACCCCGACCCACACTCGAAGAGTCCGACAAAGCGGCAAAGCAATGAAAAATCAGATCCCGGAGCGTGTTTGAGACACTGAAAACGTTTTGTGAAAAAAATTAGCACAGATCTAAAAAATTAGCACAAATCTAAAAAAGCAGTCCTGAAAGCCGACAGAAAAAAGTTGCGGACCACAAAAACTCATTTAACAACCCGGTGGAGACTGACTCCATTTGCATTATTGGAAAAACAACTTTTTCGACGAAATCTTGTCATAACTCCTTGAAATGGAACATTCCAAAAACGTGGAAGGTCCAATTGTTATTTGATTGAACATCAGGAAGAAATCGTCTTTTTTTCATTTGAAAAGTTGATATTACGGGGCCAAACTGTGCATTCTGTGCATTGTAATTGGAAACCGCGACAGGCCAAAGTCAGACTTGTCATTGCTACCTTTCTTCGAGCTTCTCCGCTGTTTTGGATTCCACAAACCAATACTTAAAACATTGTACCACTCAAAATCGCTCCAAAAATAGGCAAACTTGCGGAATCCGCAACTGTATTTGCGGAATCCAGAACAGTTTGTGGAATCCGCAAACAAGGGATATGACATTTGCATTGTTAAATTGAGCGGTTGCGGACTCCACAATTCTAAGTGGAATCCGCAAATTGTAAGTGGAATCCGCAAATTGTAAGTGGAGCCCGCAAATTGTAAGTGGAATCAGTATTTTGTTTGCGGCTGTCATTTACATATATGTTTATATGTAGTAACGTTTTTAGCTTATATCTTTTATTTACTAGGTGGTCACCAGCAAGTTCCACCTCAATTACTACGTTAACCAGCTACCAGTTGAAACACCTGTCAACCTCAATTCCTGTCAAACCAACTTCGATCTCAATCCTGTCAAACATACCAAACTTCGATCTCAAATCTTGTCAAACCAAATTTGATCTCCATTCCTGCCATCAATTTCAATTCCTGCAAACTGAACAAATAGAAGTAGACTCATCTAAATTCATCAGTTCATTTCAATCAATTCGCCTAAAATTAATATATATTTTAAATTCGCTTTTTTCGAGTATTTTCAAACCGCGAACGTATAGTTTGATAAGGCAACCTTTTCAGAACCAACTCAACTGATGAGTAATGATGATTTCTGAACCAAAAGAACCATCTCATCTCAAATACTGATGAGTGATGGTTTTTCTGAACCATTTCAAACCCTGAACTGCCATTTCATTTCGAACCCTAAATAGGTTTCGATGATTGTATTTTCCGATCCCAAAAAATCATCCGATCATCAGATGATCAATAAAGAATTGGCATCCCCATAGTTAACCAATGTTGTAAGATTCATTTGTGGATTCCGCTCACAAATGGATAAATCATTGCTTTCAAATTGCACATTGCTATAGATAACAATTCCACCTCTAGCTTTTAATTGTTCACATGCAACTTCAGTAATACACAAATTTGCGGAATCCGCTTACATTTGCGGATTCCGCTTGCAAACTTTGCTGATTCCACTTTTATTTGCAAATTCAACTTTCTTTTTGCGGAATCCACTTACAGGTGCGGAAACCTGAACAACTAGCTATATTTGCTTGTACGGAATCCGCAACAAAACAAATGTGCCGACAAAATTACGTTACAGGTATTTGTACGCGGAATCCACTGAAACTTTGTTAGTGGAATCCACTTAAATTTAGGAACACAGTTTGGCACTATCCAGTGCACAGTTTGGCCGCGTAATAGAGAGCCGAAACTCCTGTTCAATTTTTAAAAACTTTGTTATATTAAGCAATAATTTTTTTCCGTTGGCCAATTGCAGTAACTTTGGTGTATGTTATGTACGTGAACGTATGTGTTAATGTTATAATACGTCGAGGCCGTTTCGTGCCAGCCGTTGAATCTAAAAAGAGATAGAACTTCAGATCATTTGGCGTAGCTATGTAACACCCAGTTAAATCCTGAGACCTGAGCTAGGAAAAACAGAACTGAAACATGAATTGTTTTCTTAGATATATTGAATTATTTATTTCTTACAATTCAAAGAGGATGAGTTTCTTGACTTCTCACATCCGCTGAGAAACCTTTAATTTAAGCTTCACTTTCGAAACAAGAAGTCGTTCAAGATTTTTCGCCTCATTGCCATGTTCGTAGTAGAGTGCACTTTACCTAACTCTCATCAAATGAACTTGAGTGGAACTCAAAAAGTGAACAAATACTCAAATGCATTCATAAATGCATCAAAATGTTTGAACGCACATCTGTAGTTATAAGAGCGTTTTGAGATTTTTTGTTAAATTAAACAGAAAGTCACAAAGGCCTATATGTCTTCACTACGTTCATTATTTCATAAAATTGATTGTGGAACACAGAAATTGCAACCAAAATTTCTAATTTATTCTGAAATTCTTAGATGCATAAAAACGGTTGGATCAAAAATAAGTTTACGAAACCCTCTTGAAATAATCTTACGAAACCCCCTTGTTGGGAAAAAAGAAGTTTACGAAACCCCCTTGTTGGGAAAAAAGAAGTTTACGAAACCCCCTTGTTGGGAAGTCTGCCATATATATTTTGATGCGGACACTATAAATTTGGCAATGTGTGCAATGATTACATGGAAGAATGTGATTGTGGGGCTGTGGTCCACTTTTATACTGCTAGTCTGTACAAATGGGTGGCTGTGGAACCCCTCTGCTCTGTCCACCCCCACAGTCCTCTCATCTCCTCCCTCAATGTCCCCACCCACCTCCTCTCCGTCCATCTGTCTATGCAGTTGGTCCCAGTTGCTCCTCTGGGGCATGTAGTTGTGCTGATGGGAACCAAGGTGAGAAGAGGCTCTGGATGACAGTCTGAACAAGTGAGTTTAACAAGTCATCGCTTCCTTCTCTCTGAATGACAGCGATGAGATCATTTAAATAAACATAGCCCCACATGGAGATCATCAATGGTTCGCACTCGGATCAATCCTTCCCAGGGATGCATTTGAAAAGCTATGGACAAGCTTCATTTAGCATAATTTTATTCTGCTATGTTAATAAGTAACCGAAATATCTCTCCGACTTACAGCACAACGGCTGAGAGGAAATTTCATCAGACATAAATTTTAAGAAGAATTCGATTATGATGCAAGTAATAATACGTGTTTGGCAGCAGACGCCTTTGAAAGGGGTCGGTGGATGGGCTGCTTTTTCTACCTTGATGAATCAAACTCGGATGGGCGAGTGTGGTTGCGGGCATAGGGGTTGGAGATGTTCTTTGATCCGGCGGCGGGGGCGAAGGCAGAGGCAGGTGAGGGGAGTGGCATCTGGGCCTTCATGTGGAGGATGTGTTGCCTGGTCCGGTCCATAGTCTGGCGCCACACTTCCGGCTGCAGGGGAATGTTGAAGCAGACAGCCCTGATGTTGAACCACAATCGGCTGCTCTTCTTCCTAACCAAACAGAACATGAATCTAATTAATTCTCACCTCACCCTATCATTACAACCTCCCCATTAGAGTGCTTTCTCAAAACTCATTTCCATGCTGGCAGTTTATTTCATTTCTTATCTTATAAATAAGCATCAGTATAACTTCAGAAACTCTCCTTTACATGCACTATAACAATATTATAGTAAAAAAAGTCAATTTCATCTCCCGGGTCGAGATCCCGCTCAAAAATCGCTCAAGATATGAGCGGTTTGAGCGGTTTTCCAGCAAGATTTGAGCGGTTTGGGCGGTTTGTTGGAAAATCCGCTCAAACCGCTCAAATCTTGCTTAAAAACCGCTCATTTCATGCGGTGATTTTTGAACGGTTTTTCAAGCAAGATTTGAGCGGTTTTTAAGCGGTTTTTGAGCGGTCTTATAGAGAAAACCGATTAAAACAATCAAAAGGCCTGGAAAGATAATGTGACGCTAGGATGCAAATGAAGTACTATCTACAATTTAAAAATGTGCTTAACCGTTCTCAACTCAAGCAAATCTTGCACGGTTTTTGAGCAGTTTTTTTAGATAAACCGTTCAAAAACCGCTCAAACCGCTCATTTTGAAGCAAGATTTTGAGCGCAGTCGTCTAAAAAAACCACTCAAACCACTCAAATCTTGCTTCAAATTAGGTGAAAAATCTCGACTCGGGCTGTAGGTAGAAAAATATGTTTTATGGATGCAAAATTTAAAATGAATGTTTTTACAAGCAAGTTAAACATAATTAACCCTAAACGTGAAGAGTCAGCCAAACTAGCAAAATTATTTATTTGTTAAATTGAAATTAATTGTTAAATTCTATTAATCAGTGGATCAAATTATTTCAAAGAAAATTTGGGATAAAAAATCTAAATACCTCCCTCTGAATAAATATGCGGGCACAATTCTTAACCAACAAGCCTGCTTGCATCAGGTCGACATCCTGAATGTATTAACTTAAAGGCAGTGTATAAGTTTTGGAAAAAAAAAAGAATCCGACTTTCAAAAAAAAACAGAATTTGCAATTTTACTTTATTTTTGATAGTTTAGTTTACATATCTCTGCAATCTGCGCATTAGAAAAGCAAACTTGATCAAATTGTTTAGTTGTTGACAATCTTATGTTTGGTAATGCTTCATCGTCGTAAATTATTCTCAAAAGTTCGAGGTTTTTTAAAACAAACAAAAAAGAAAGGATCAATGGGACGGACTTGCAGGAGCAATTGATACAAAATGAATGACGAAGTACAACCAAACGATTGAAAAAAAATCATCTGTCGTCAAAAAAGCAAAACGTAGCCAGCTGACAACTGGAAAAGAGTAATGAACGCATGCAAACAGAGAAAAGTACACTGAATGACTTTGTTGAAACAAATCTCAACTTTCGAAAGTCAAAGCAAAAAATAGTATTGTAAATTTCGTTTTCAAAGTGTGTCATCATAGCAATATCATCACTCAAAGCAAATTTGAAAAGAAAGATTTTTTTGAAAAAAAACAGTGTTTTGGAAATCTTGCAAAGATCACAATTGATAACTTCTCTAAGAAAAAATGATAACTTGTAATGATCTAGCAAGATTTTGACAAAAAAAACATGCCAGTTGGTAAGACTTTGAAGCTAAATTCAATATGCTCGGACAAGTGTAGAAAACTAATTCCCGCTTTTTTACAATCCAAAATCTTGACAAGACATCTATATTGACTTGTGCCCTCAAGGAAAATAATAAAGAAACGGAAAAAAAGAACTGAAATGACTGAAAAGGACATGAATGTTTGTATATATAGTTTTAAAAAACTATGTTCAATTTCTCCACTACCTTCAAACTTTCAAAGGAATTCTAAATCACATAACAAAATATGTTTGAGCTAATTATTAATTTATAATTTTGTATACAAATTTTAAAATACATTTTTGGTTGATTAGAAACTTCCATGCTGAAACATCCATGAAATAGCTGAAACACACCAACAACCTAACTTTCAGAAGAAAGTATATACTTTTCAACCATTAATCAACATAAAGACCATGCAAAACAGCAACATCGCGTGTAGATTAAATATTAAGGAAGAATCATGTTCCAGAAAGTTTCTACGAATTTACTTCAAAAGATTTAAAAAACAGTTTCTAGGTTTGGGTTATTGTATGACTCTCAAAGCTCTTGAGCCTCAACAGCTGATAAAAAGCTAATTTTATTTAGATGAGTTCCATGATATGCAATTATGAATTGATCAAAGTGCCTTCCTTGCCTGTTTTTTTTCGCTTCTTTCCCTCCCGAAAAACCTTTTTTTCGCAAAACAATTTGTCGAGGTGATGAATAACTCAACTCATATCCTTCCAAAATCCTGCCAAACTCATAGTAGTGTTTTCCTAATCAGATTTATACTGGCAAACATTTGCAGAATCTTGCATGACAGCTTTTTGGAAGAACCCTACTTGAACTTAACCAAAAGTTTTCCAAAATACTCTAGAAACAAAAAAATACAATCCGCTCTCAAAAAGTTTTTTTAGACAGTTCTCAAACTCTTTTGCTTGTGTTCTTGTTTTTTTTTTTGATATTTGACGATCCTCGTCTCACGCATTCAACTTTTTATGCAAATTTTTTGGATTCCAAAACTTTGTTTTGGATTTCTGCACAACGTCAACCCTTCAGGTGTCTTATTTTCCTTATAGTAAACAGGATAGTCGGTTGCGGTGCAACTAGCACAGAAGTTTTTGACCACAAAAATATAAACAGAAAACTGAATATACATATATTTTTTTGCTAATTCTGATGCCTCTTGTTCATTTGGCTATGAAAGGAGCTGAAAAAAGCCTAGAAAAATTTATTGGAAGACAGAAAAAAATTACTAAAAGAATTGAAACAGTTTTGAATTTTTCTTTCAATTTTTTTTTAGTTTTTTCTTTGTTTTTGTAAAAATTTTTGTTGCCAAAAGAAATGTTTTTTTTTAAAAATATATATGGTCCAAATTTCGAACGAACTCTCGAGGCCGATCGTCAATTATTTGTGGTTTCAGAATTTACAACACAAAAAAAAGTAAGCAAACTAAAAAATCCGGAGATAAATTTTCTCCCCACTTTCATTGACTGAACCAATAAGAATATAGCCAACAGATTGTTGGAAAAAAAGTCAATGAAACTAAGTAAGTAGACAAAAAATTCATTCGTTTTTTGAAAAGTCTCAATCTTTGAATCTCAATAAGTAAAACAAATGCCCTTAAAATTCTTTGGTTTTCAAGGTCGATGAAAACTTGGGAAAACTCTTGGGGGTAGGGATTTGTATCTGTATGTGTTGTAATGGGTATAATTTTGACAAATTCAAAAAAAAAACTTTGCTTTGGTACTTTTTCAATCAATTTTTGAAAATCTCACCCACACACGAAATTAAAAATACAAATGATGCAATTCGCGTAAGACGAAATTTCGAAGACACCAGATGGCAGACATTAATCCAATTTGGAACAACTTCCAAGAAGGAATAAATCTTTGCTTGTACATTCACAGCACGAACGAAATTAATCGTGCGTTAACTATCCCAAAATGGCCAAATTGGCAATTTTTAAACCCCCATAACTTTACAAAATTGAATGCAATTAAGATAGAGGGGATCCAATGTGAATAAAAACAATTTGGCCGATTCCAGAAATAGTTTTTCAGCCGAAGTGAGCAAGACATATCAGCCAAGGCTTTTTAGTCAAAAGAGATGGGAAGAAAGAACTAAATTTTAAATCAAACAGTCCCATTTATTTGGACGAACAAAGTTGAAAAGATTAAAGAAGTAGAAATGGATACCAACAGGGGCGGATTTAGGGGGAAGCGGACGCCCCTCCCTCCCCCCCTCAGGGATTCGACCCCTTGCCGACCCAAAGGGTCCCCCTTTGATACTTTCTAAGAAATCCAATTTTGGCCGACCGACGCTAAAATTTTTCTGAAGGCGCCTTGGGCGCCAATATATACTAATTTTGAGGGGGGAGCGCGCGCCGAAAAAACGCAATTTTTCGGTCAAAATTTTCCAAAAAGTGCCTAAAAACGTCTTTTTTAGCCTGTTTTTTCAAAATTTTGCCTGCGGCGCAAAAAATTTGGCCAAAATAAGAAAATTTTTGAAAATCCGCCCCCCCCTCGAGAAAATCCTAGATCCGCCCCTGGATATCAAGGAGCAAGACTTTTAAGATAAGTGATTATTATTTGTAAAAACTCTCAAATAGTTGTGAGTGTCAACGCGCTAGTTTTTTAATGCATTCTTCCCAAGTTTTTACTGACATTCACATACTTTGTTTGGTTTGCTGATTGTTTCCCAGGTTTAAAGTCTCTCAACGTAAAGTTTTGAGCTCTCAAGCTCCTTTTTGAAATGAGAGGTCAGTTTTGACATTAGACGAATTATTTCATAACGTCTCTTTAACTCAAAGTCTACCTGCTAAATTGAAATGTAAATTTTCATTGGTTGAAAAGTTAATATACATTATCTTTTTTGTTTGTATTAGCATTTTGTTTCCAGTCATTCAAGCCAAACTACCCAAATACTTGATAAGCGGTTGCACTCTTCGCCGCCTAAGGAATTAAAGCAGTCAGCGTAATTGTGTGCCAGGAATAACGTGGTAGTTGTTGCCAGCCATTTCACTGATATCCTTTTTGACCGCCTATATTCTTACCGAAGACTTTTTGTTAGATAGATTTTTGTTTTTGTTAGAAAATTTAAAACTTGCTCAAAAGTTTTAGGGGAAAAAAACAATTGTCTGAGATTTATAGACTGGAGATTTTGACTAATTGCAAATAACGTACGCTAGTTGAAGTTATTTTATCTTTTCTTAGTTCACTTGATAGGAAGTAATTTTGTGCCGCTTTACGCAAACCTGGTGAAATCCCTCATGCGCGAATGTTCGAATGCGCGAAAATACAAATCAGCCAACCAGATTTCAGTAATCTAAAACTTGGAAAAAAAGTAAAAATTTCCAGGGACTGGGGTATTGAGATTGGTCGAATATAAAAACGGCAGGAATATGCAAAAATTTAATATTGTCATTAACCGCCGCAAAATTGGGATAAATTTTACATTTCAAGGGTTTCGTAATGAAAGAAGCAAAATGTTTCGTCGTTTACTTCTTTTTAATTGAATGGCAAATGCTTCTTTTTAAAAGTTGACTTTCGGCTAATTTTGCTTTCGGTTTTTCGCACACAAGTTTTTTCGCGCATTCGGTCCTTCGCGCATGAGAACAGCCACCCGCAAGCCTTATTTAGACGTGCATGTCAAGTTATTTCAGGCGCGTATCGATTTTGAACACGCAAAACTTTTTTTTTGCCTGAAATATCATTTCCGAAAAGTCTGACTTGTTAGTTTAATTTATCTTGCATTGAAATTGGTTGAAGCATCTCTGTCTGAAATGTCTAATCACGCATGAAATATTTTCCTAGAATTGAGCTCAGGACAATTTTAATTTTTGGAGGTTGTAAATGTAAAAAATCAATACACTTCGGAGAAAAAAATTTACCCGAGCAGAATGTTCTCCTTTGAAAATCAGAAAATCGGAAAATCAAATGTGAGTGAGAACAAAAGGTAAAATTTTTCTTAGAAACAAAAACGAACAAAAAATTACCAAGATATATTCAAGAGTTTTCCGTACGTTCATGACTCTAAACAATCCATTATTATTGTTTTTAATGGATCATGTTTGATTTAAATTTCTAGAACATTTTTAGAAAAGTAATGAGCGCAAGGAAACTGAAAAAAAACGGATTGTTTTTTCAAAAATTTTTGAATTTCAAAGAAAAATTTAGATGGCCTCAAAGCTCTTTGAACTTTTGAAACAATTTATCATGGAACTTTATTCGTTATAAGTAACCCACTTTGAGAAAAATGGATCAATTGGTAAAAACTTTTCTTTTTTTCACAGAGAAATCTGATAATCAGTTTCCATTTTCGAAACAAGAAAACGATCTTTTTTTTTCGTGACTTCTTACACCTTCGCTGTTGGAGTTTACCTTGCTTTTAACAAACGAAGTGAAATGATCTTAAAAAGAGATCAAACGTGAAACCACGAAAAAGTACATTTGAGCGTGAATAATTTTTAGCAGTTTTTCTTGAAAAAAAACAAAAAAATCCCCAAGACATATAAAAGAGTACTCACTACGTTCATTACTCTTAAGAAAATTGGATTTTAGTGGATTATAATGGGTTGCGTGGTATGAAAGTGAAATATAGTTGATTAGAATGGCAATATTTTTGACCACGAAAGTCGATTTTAATCGATAATTTTTGATGAAACCTCAGTAAAGGTAGAATTCTTTTCGTATTTAGGAAACCTCACACTTTTTTGTTCGTTACAGGTCGTGACACTTTTCTGAAAAAATATAAATACATTCACAAAAAATTTGCGTGCGAATCGCTGCGTTTTTTCTACATTTAGCAAAAGTGTAGGCTTATGTATGGTTTGTATTCTGACTAGCAACTAGCCTGTCTGCGCCCTGTTTGGACGTGATAACGCATCCGGTGTCTTTCACTGAGAAGGTCAGAATGAGACCCTCCCCCTCGTTACTTCTCCCACCGCCACCACCACTGCGGGCTGCACCCTGTGCAGTGCTGCTGTTCGCCTCCTCGCCCCTACCCAGGTCACCTCCCCTAGCCCAGTGCCCTGAGTGTTGTTTGCCAGCAGTGTCTCTTCTGCTTGGGTGAGTGTGTTTGGGAGTGTGTGAGGGCGGAAGGGGAGCCTGTTGGTTCACCTCAATGCACAGCTGTTCCACATTCAGAGTCATCACACTGTCCGTCTCTCTCAACTGACAGTCAGCTGACCCCAGCGAACACTCTTTGCTCCAGTACGTCACTCCAATTGTGTCTGTCACAACAACTACCCACATAAGCCTCTTTCTACATTCTCACACTACTCATACGCATCGGGCGGGGAAGTGTACTAAAGTTTACTTCTTCAATTCCAGCCGCTAACAATTTCCAAGTTACGCGCGGATGTCCTTAATTTGTTCTCCTTCCAACACTGGCCCATGTTGTTCACATGCATCCAATGGGAAACAGGCAGGCATGTACTATAATTGTTCACAAAGCGCCATGCCGCGGGTAATTGAAAATCAGGCTCACCTTATGGGGTGGGGTAGTGAAGAAATTCAACGAGTCAACGGCTAGTTTGTCGGTCACTGTGTTTCCCTTCCCAACTTCATTTTCGGCCAATTGAAACTAAAGGTGGCAACGAGCCGATGAAACAAATTTGCGCTTTATATTCAAAGGCTTTGGCGGTGACTTAAGCTGATGTTTTTTGATGTCTCCGAACCACTTTCCTATTTTTGGAGTTAACATCTTTCAATAAAGCCAATTGATTAATTAGACTTTAACCGAGCAGTGTGCGGGTTGCAAGTCCCCCCAACTCTGTGCAGAACTCTGCACATTTGAGGGCTGCTACCACGTGAACAACCACTTTGCCAGGCGCGTCTTCCTCCAACTGCCCCTTCTCCCTCTCGCCCTCCGCCGCCCCTTTCTTCCCCCTCTTCCTCCCCCCAAGGTCGCTCTCTGAAATTTACATTTTAGAGATAGAATGAGGTCAGCTTAAAACTGGGCAGTTCCATACCTCGCTCAAAATCGATTTATTAAAATGACTTTTTTGTGAGAGCTTTACCTCTGATAACCTCCTATGTCTCGATTTCTAGATGCGCAGAGCCAAGAAAAAAACATAGCCAAGAGAAAGTTGAAAAAGAGTCAATAAACGCAAAAGAAACAAAAAAATTGACTCGTTCTTAAAAAAAACTTCAACTGAAAACAAAAAAACTAAAAGTGGCATTCAAAATTACAAATCGATCTCAAGCAAATGAACTTGAATTCAACTCTAAAAGTGTACATAAAAAGAGACGAAGGATCTGAACTACTTTCATTGACTCCTAAAAATTAGTCTGCAGGATTCCCGGGTTGACCAAAAATGCTAGTCATACAATTTCCATATATGGAAAAATGCTAGTCGTACACTTTCCATACAATTCCATAAGTACAGAAAACTGCATGAAAGGTCTATGATTAGTATTTTTTTATATATGGAAATTGTATGACTAGCATTTTTCCCTAAAACAAAAATATTAATTTTTTACATTTTAATTTCTCAAAATTTTTTGGTTGTGTTCGTAACCGAACACAAATGACAAAAACCTTGGTTAATCAAACGTGGTAACCAAGGGTTTGCCCGTCTCGCATTAAAAATGCATTGGAAACAGCCTGCAATGTCTTAGTTCTGTCTCACGCAAATAATATAACGAAAGTATAAAACTTTTAAATTTTGGCAAAAATTTTCAAGATGATTATTTCTAAAATTTGAATTTTCATATTACCAGACATTGACCAAGGCATACAAAAACATGCCATACAAAAAAAGAGGAGTTTCGAGCATTTTTGAAAATGTTATCAAAAGAAAAGGAAAAAAGATCCAATATTAGTATATCCAGGACTACGTTTTACACACAAAAAATTAAATTTGCATGCAATTTTTTTTTTCAAAAAAAGTTTGTTTGAGTACAAAAATATATGGAAATTGTATGATTAGCATTTTTTTGACAAAAAGTTTTTCTTTTTTATTTAGTACGATACACCAAAATTTATGCCAAAACAAGAGAAAAGTTTTTTGAAAATTCGATGACACCATTTAAACAAAATGTATGAAATTTGTATGACTAGTATTTTTTCGTAAAATTAGTTTATGGAATTGTATGATTAGCATTTTTGGTCTATGGAGGTCAACCCGCGTTATCATTTCAAAACGTTTTAGTTTAAAAATTAAGAAGAATCTTGAAAAAAAATGTTTTGTTTTGCTTCCAGATGTTCTGATTTTGTCTGTTATTTTAATTGTGTTATTTACGAGGCCAAACTGTGCTTTGTGGGAAATGTAAGCGGATTCCGCAACAAGGACGCTCTCTTTATTTTTCTTTATTTTTCGTTTCTTTTGATTGTTCCGACACAACTTTAACAAGTTTAAAGACTTGTCTCTGGAGCCCAGGATCATACAGACACAAAATTAAGCGCCTATTTTCTTATATATTATAAAATATTATTGTGTTTTTTGAGCAAAAATTGGCTTAATTTGTCCTGAAAAACGTTGTAATCAATCAATACTTTCAGTTTTATCTGTGCGCACTAATTAATTGTCGTCACATTGCCATCAGTCAGTTGGAAAAAAGTCAATGAACGCACGGAAACAGAAAAACTGTCGAACTTTAGAGAAAAAATATGGCCTTACAGCCCCATGGTTTTAAGTACCCATCAAAAACAATTTATGATAGAGATTTAATTTAACGAAATTACCCCAATTTGAAAAAACTGGATCCATAGGTAAATCTTTCATCTCGCTGTGAAAACTGGAAATTAAAATGGGCTTTCGAAATTAGAAGTTGACTCCCTATCTTTGTACTATTTTGAAACATTCATTTTTGGCTAACTCACCCAAAAAATTTTGGAAAAGCGCCTTGGGTGCCAATATACTTTAATTTGGAGGAAAAGTGCGCGCCCAAAAAACTCGTTATTTGTGCCAAAGTTTTCCAAAAAAAAAAAACGTCTTTTCGGCTTTTTTTTTCAAAAATGTTCCTGTGACGCAAAAAATTTGGTCAAAATTGGGTCTTTCTAGTGATTAAGGAGAGCTCATTAATTCGGGAAAAGTTTTCACCCGCGAATTAAGTACTGCATAGTGCAGATTAGGCTATTAGGTCCTCTGACTGTACTCGCCTTTATTATGCTTCTCTTGAGGCTTATCGTTGTCTTGGTCGCCCCCGCCTTCCTCCTCGAAGAAGCAGATGTCATCTAGGCGTCCTTGGTCCGACTTCTCAAACACGAATCTCCAGCAGTCGTCCCCCTCGTCCTCGTCCTCCTCCTCCTCCCCCTCCCCCTCCTTCTGCCCCACCTCACTCGCCCCCGCCGCAGTCTTCTGTGCGCTCTGGTTAGCAAGGTCGAAGCTGGACTGGCGTTTGGTGAACACTTCCGACTGCTGCTTACTGGATGCTTGGGTCTGCTGCAGAAACCGGTTCCAGTCAAACTCCGAGTGGATTCTGTGAACCGATCTGTAAATCTGGTCGATCAACTTCACAACAGAGAAGTTCAGACGATACGTGATCTTTTCCAGTGAGAAAAATATGTCGATGTACAGACTGTTCCGCTTGGATTTGTCCGTATGGCGAGTGAGAGTGCTTCGCCTTCGGGCCGTCTGCTGTTCTTTCACGCTGAAATTGACCTCGAAGTTATGCGTATAGAACACTGGTTCCTTTTCATGAGCATGGAACACTCCTGTTCTGGAGTCTCTTGGCAATTCAATGTCGGCATACGGCTGGTCGTGTTCAGAGAGAACGTCCACTCTTAGATGAAGAGCTCGGCCGGAAACGAGCAGCTCGCGTCCGAATATCTTGGTGAAGTCGTGTTGTTCCGCATTTTGTTTGAAGGCTTTAACGGACATTAGAAGTGCTTTGAAGCGTAGAAACACGTACTGTTGGTCCACGTCAGGATCCATAATGGATGCTACGTTCTTCTTTTTCCTCCGTAGAAATCCAACTCCTAAATTCGGCCGCATGCCATCCGATTCTGTCGGCCTGAAAAAAAAATATGCAGAAGAAAGTTTAGGTAACAAAGGTGACTCAAGAGACAATTAGCTGGACAAGAAAAACTCACAAGGTTTCAGAAAAAAAACTAAATTACAGCTCTTTTACGTTTGATTTCAGGCAAACCGCTGTTTTTAATTTTTAAATTTTAAGAGCCGAATTTCATCTTTCACTGTTCAGACGCCAATCTATGAAACTATCGACAGTAGCAAAAGTTCAACAATAAAATTCTAAAAATTACAATTTTTCCAGCTTTTCCAAAACTGTATTAAGACCATATTGAACCAAATATTTTGGCACTAAATTTCTTCCTGGAGGGCGGTCCTCCCTCAAACTTGGTGTATACTGGCACACTGCAAGAGTATAGTTTTATTATAGATGCTCGATCGAAAAATTATGTCTTAAAATAGTACCAAAGTGGCGCATTTTTGGTGTGTCCTGCGCTTCGAAGTCCACAAGGTCAATTATGATGTCATTTTTGACATTTTTTACTACAACCAATCAGAATCGGAGAAAACGGTTAAATTTTAATCGCTGAAGGCTTCTCTTGCAGAAAACTAAAAGCTTCGAAATTAAACGTCAAACTGCGAAATCTTATTTGAACTCGAACAACTTTAAAGTCTTTTTGCTGAAAAAAAAAACCAAAAACTTATCATAACGACCTTTATAAAAGCTAATAATTTTGTTCTTTTACAATAGGAGAGAGTTTTGAATTTTTTTTCAATTATTGTGATCATTTGACTACTTGCTGCTTGAATGAGTCTGTTACCTGATTCCAACAGAAGGCGGGGAACTTTTGTTGCTCATGACGCTGAACGTGTCATTGCCAGTGGTCGAGTAGCCAAATGTGGCTGGATTTGGGTATTGGTAGTAGCCGTTTTGCAGTAGGTCCGGCGGCTCATTTATATCCACTCCCTCTGGAATGACACTGGCACTTGCACGATAAGTATACTTACTAT